TAAAAATAAAAAAATAATCTGACTACAGCATTGTGAGAATTGTGTAAATATTTTTTCTAACCAATATGTTTAGTAACTGATGAAATAAATGAAAAAGATACCAGTTTTAAAAAATCTAGTTTTTTTTCATGATGGAGCAATTTATTTTTCGAAATATTAATCTAAAAATTTTCTTTTAACCATGTTATCTCTTTTGCTAAAATTTATTTCCTAACATGGACTGTAAAAGTATTTGGTCAGCTATGCTCTCCCTGAATTTAACTAAATCTAAAAATTGGTATATTCTAGCTGAGCCAAGCCAAACTGCTCCTTTTTGCCTTCACATCCCCCTACCCACACCCCAGTTTAGCAGGTGACCTTGTCCATACACTGTGGCCTATCCCATATTGCAAGCAGATAGACTCTTCATTGAAGGTAAGCCTCATATGGGTAGTACTGTGTGTCCCATGATATTGACTGCAACACCTGGCCACAATCACTCGCTGATCTAGGATGGTATACAGTGGATTGGGGGGGCCAAGCGTTGATGAATATCATTAATGAAGCAGGCTGTATCTCTACGACTGACCGATATGGCATGATGGAGATAAATGGCCTAATTTAAATGTATTTAATTATGCCAGAGGTTTTGACTGTTGGAACATAGGAATCTCATTTGTTTTGGAGAAATGGGAATTAACATTTTTCCACTATGCTGATGGAGCATAGAGGAGATTGTAGATTGTATTAACATGATCCACAACTCTTAGAGCTGGCCCGGACTGGGTCATAAAATAAGCCCGGTCATTTTAGACTGAGCAGCCAAATTCGGGGGGGGGGGGGGGCAAGGGCATTCGTGGGGGCAGTAGGTGACCAAATATTCATAGTCGGTCCTCTGCACTGTAATAGGGGCACTGTGATATAAATGGGACTGCACTGTAAAGGGGCACTGTATTGATTACAGTGCCCCTTTACAAAATGCAATCCCCTTAATATCATAGTGCCCCTTTACATTACAGTGCCCCTAGAGATCTAATCACAGTGCCCCCTATATATTCAAAGAGATGGCTCAATCCAGCAAAGAGACATCCCCATATAGCAAAGACGGGATGGTCTCTTTGCTGGACAGGGATGGTCTCTTTGCTGGGCAGGGATGGTCTCTTTGCTGGGCAGGGATGTCTGTTTGCTGGACCCAACTGGGCAAAGAGACCGCCCCATCCACCGCTGTTACAGACCTGTCACAGTGTGCCGGCGGCTGCGGGTGAAGAAGAGAGAGGCCGCCGTTCCTCCTTCAGTGCAGCGGCCGGCTAAGGAGTTATCTCTGTGTCAGCAGCTCTTCCTGCGTCTTTGAGGAGCCGTCACTGCCGCTCCTCCTGCCGGCTCTGCTTTGGGCATAGCTACACAGCTGGAGGTGAGTGGCAGCCGCCGGTCTGTATTAGCAAAGTCCAGACAGCGGTCTCCGCTTACCGCCCGCTTATGGCCAGTACGGCCCTGGTATCTAGCAATACTGTACATCTGCATTGCAAACTTGTCATATAAAGTTAACTGAGGCATCACAAAGTGTTTTGGGGAATGTAATCCCAAATGCTGGGAACAGACTGCAAGCATATAGGCTAGGATGAAGGTAACATCAGCTGTTTCATGGAATACTGATGATGCAAATAAAATTTACAGGAAATGAAGAAAAGATTTGGCCCAGTGTAAAAATTGAGTTTGCTGTTATTTATACTTTTCTGAGACTATATTGTACAGGATAGGCTCAGAGATAACTTTGTGTAGTCTTGTGTATGGATTCGTAGATTGAATTCAAGTTTCTAAGAGGGAAATGATGATTACTGAAGACAAGTCATAGGATGAGATATGCGAAAAGATACAGCTGACTTCCAGGGACCTAAGTATATAGGAGTAGAATGTGAATATGCTTTTTCCATTGTTCTTTCGAGAGTGTCAAATATTGGTAGTCGTAGTACCTGTACTTGGTGTGCCACCCATACAGCAGTCTGCCCTAGGTGGCAGTAGGGATTCGAATGCATTAGGGATAAGCTAAGGTGAGGGTCTTCATTTTTAGTTACTACTTTTTAAAGTGTTTTTAGAGCTTTAAGATTAATAGTGTGTTTTGCATGTGTTAGAGCAGCCCATTCATTTAAATGGTCTCCCTTATGTGCTAAAAGGCACCAAAAAAGTGTGTGTGTGTGTGTGTGTGTGTGTGTGTGTATTTTATAACACACACTCAAAAAAATTAAAGGAACACTTTTTATTCAGAGTATAGCATCAAGTCAATTAAACTCCTGGGATATTGATCTGGTCAGTTAAGTAGCAGAGGGGGTTGTTCACCCGTTTTCAGCTGCTTTGGTGTTAATGAAATTAACAGGTGTACTAGATTGGCAACAATGAGACGACCCCAAAACAGGAATGGTTTTACAGGTGGAGGCCACTGACATTTTCTTCCCTACTCATCTTTTCTGACTGTTTTTCACTAGTTTTGCATTTTGGCTAGGGTCAGTGTCACTACTGGTAGCATGAGGCAATGCCTGGACCCTACAGAGGTTGCACAGGCAGTCCAACTCCTCCAGGATGGCACATCAATACATGCCATTGCCAGAACTTTGTTGTGTCTCCCAGCACAGTCTCAAGAGCATGGAGGAGATTCCAGGAGACAGGCAGTTACTCTAAGAGAGCTGGACAGGGCCGTGGAAGGTCCTTGACCCATCAGCAGAACTGGTATCTGCTCCTTTGTGCAAGGAGGAACAGAATGAGCACTACCAGAGCCCTACAAAATGACCTCCAGCAGGCCACTGGAGTGAATGTCTCTGAGAAAACAATCAGAAACAGACTTCATGAGGGTGGCCTGAGGGCCCGACGTCCTCTAGTGGGCCCTGTGCTCACTGCCCAGCACCATAGAGCTCGATTGGCATTCGCCACTGAACACCAGAATTGGCAGGTCTGAGATGAGAGCAGGTTCACCCTGATCACATGTGACAGATGTGAAAGGGTCTGTGGAAGCCGTGAAGTTATGCTGCCTGTAACATCGTTCAGCATGACTGTTTTTTTGGTGGTGGGTCAGTGATGGTCTGGGGAGGCATATCCATGGAGGGACACACAGACCTCTACAGGCTAGACAGTGGCACCCTGACTGCCATTAGGTATCGGGATGAAATCCTTGGACACATTGTCAGACCCTATGCTGGTGCAGTGGGCCCTGGGTTCCTTCTGCTGCACGACAATGCCCGGCCTCCTGTTGCAAGAGTATGCAGGCAGTTCCTGGAGGATGACTAAATTGCAGCCATTGAATGGCCCCCACGCTTGCCTGACCTAAATCCAATAGAACACCTCTGGGACATCGTGCTTCAGTCCATCTGATGCCGCCAGGTTGCACCTTAGACTGTCCAGGAGCTCAGTGACACCCTGCTTCAGATCTGGGAGGAAATACCCCAGGACACCATTCGTTGTCTCATTAGGAGCATGTGTCAGGCATGCATACAAGCACGTGGGGACCATGCAAACTGCTGAGTACCATTTTGAGGTGCTGCAATGAAATTTCAGCAAAATGGACTAGCCTGGTGCATCATTTTTTCACTTTGATTTTTGAGGTGTCTTTGAATTCAGTTCTCTGTAGGTTGATAATTTTTAATTTCCATCAAAGGATGGGGCAGCCTTACATTCCTAACACATTACCCAGTCCATATCAGTATAGATATCCAGCATGATATTTTTCCCCATTGAGATCTGATGTGTTTTCAAAGTGTTCCTTTAATTTTTTTGAGCAGTGTATTACAATTCATATTAAGGGTATAATAACAGTAATAACTTTCCCATCCATGAATGGCTATCGTACACTTTTGGAAATGTTGTTGGCTAGGTGCATTGGGTGCTATTAATAATGAATGATATTGCAGCCACACAACATGCATGTTTTTACACATAGCCGTAACACACCTCTTCCCACATTTTAAAGGTGTGAACTCAGGTTTATTTCTTGTGATGAATGCCTTTCTGGAAGCAATTAGTACAGAGAAAAGTAAATATTTCTTGCTGACATCCCCAGGCATTTGCTCTAATTGTGTAGAGCCCTGTCAAACCATATAAATGTAACCAAGCTTGCAGAGTTGTCTGGCAGGGATAGATATTTAAATTTTTATTATAAACAGAATAATTCTCAGTATTATGTAAAGGCAGATTTTGCAGCATTACAGTTGTCCGTAAATTCAGACCACAAAATAGCTATGTTTTGGAGGAATGGTTTGGTAAGTGCAGTGTGTGAAAGGGAATAGCCGGTCTGCTAAAGCCCCATACACACAGGCTGAATTTCAGATGGTATTTGCCAGTTCAACAGAAACCAGCCGACAGTCGGTTTTTGTATACAACAGCTGGTCCAGCTTCTGTCAAAGAGGCATGACCGAAAAAGGTCTGTTGATCATCTTCTGATCAGCACTCTCAGCCAATAGCTTGAGAACACTGATCAGCTTCTGATCAGCACTCTCAGCCAATGGCTAAGATGGCTGAGCGGTGTGTTCTGACAGGAGGGGGGGGGGGCAGTCCCCGTCAGTACAGTGATCTCCCCCACTGTGCTATTGTGTTCTAACTCCACTTGTGTTTAGTACAGCAATCTGTCAGTTTTGTTTTTCCTTGGTTTTTTTGTGGTTGTTTTTTTTTTTTTAGTTCAGCCCACTGGGTTGAATAGAAAACAAAACTGATAGTGTGTAAGGGGCATTAGGCTTGTGTTTTTATAAAGCATGGTCTTGAATTCACTTCTCTGCAGCCAAGAATCACTGCTGGACACCCACCCCTGGTTGTAGATTCAGTAAACAGTTGTCAGCCAGGTTATCTACAAATGTGTAGACAGATGCCTGCCTAATCTTACACAGTTTAAATTATTGATAAACAGATGAAAGAATAACTTCTCAGTTCAGGGAATATACCTTCCAGCCACTGTCGGTTCTCTGTGCTCATACTGTAACAATTTGTTTTGCACATTGTTTTTAATATATGGTAATTTTATTTGTTCTGGGGTTTTTCAACAGGATTATAATGATTTTTTTGAAGCCAAGGAAAGTAATACAGTATCTTCCTTCCTACGGATAAAGTCAAAATCTGCAGCAAGGGTACGGAATCTTATTTCTAGACTTATTTTCTGTTCTTTGCCAGAGTATTCTAGAAGTGAAATGTTTAATCTTTGATTTATTGGATTATTTTGAACTTGGTATTTTTAGCGAGTCGTGATAGCATTGTGGCAACTGCTGTTGCTGAGGCAGTCAAAGGACATTTTAGCTTGTCAACTGCCTGACCTCACACAGTTTGCCATCTTCTGAATATGTGGCATGAGAGATCAGGTAGTTGATGGATAGTAACTCTCCAATTTGTCACACTTGGGTTCGAAAGTAAGCAAAGAGAGTCTACAGGCAGCCATACATGGATTGAAATTTGTCCGGTTCAGCAGGGACCAGCCAAATTTCAATCCATGTATGGGCAGGCTGATTGTACAGAAGTCTATCTACTGATCGACTTCTGTACAACCAGCCTGTTGGGTTTTTTCCCAAACGATCAGTGCCACTAGCTATAGCCAGCAACAGTGATCAGTGTGTTCTGATGGGGAAGTGTCCTCATCGTCAGAACATAATATCGCAGCAGGAGTAATTTCCATGTTCACATCAAATGTGTGGATGGGAGAATTAGGTAATCCTTCTTCCCCCAAACCCCCCCTTTTTTTTTTTTTTTTTTTCAACCCACTGGTTGAGCGAAAAAAAGATTGTATGGCAAGCTTAAATCATGCAATAATCCTTCACATTATACAATTAAAGACTGAATATTCAGATTCCTACATATGCCCAGTCATGATGGATACTTTTAGAGCATACCTTTTATTTGCCATAAATGACCTAAACTGCCAATTTCATCAAGCAGTAGCACCGTGATGCATTGTAAGTAGGCATGTTCTGGTATAAAACATAGCTGCACAACACCCCCCTCCTTTATTTCCATTCATCGTTGTTCGCTGAAGTAGCCTACAGCAGTGATGGGTTAACAGAGAAGTGCAAGAGACGCAGGACTTCATCTAGCACACTAACTCTCCATAACATATATATTTATATATGGAGGTGCCTAGAGGTCCATGCTGTTTGTTGAGTGGTGGCATAGGACATGTGTACTAATGTAAACAATAAATCTATATGTTCTGCTTTTTATTGCTTACACATTTTTTATTTGAGAGTGGAATACTTTCTGCTTTTTCTAATATGTTAACTTTTAAATGTTTTTTTAAGAATATTATTTTAATTTCAACTACTATGGATATTAAGCACCTTTCCATTTTTATCTGCAGAAAGAAGAAATGTAGAATTTTGTATGTGATCTAGAGATCAAGCACAACATCATCTTGTCATGCACTGTGACTGGAGGACGTCATGATTATTCTCCATAACAATGAAGAATTGTTTCTGAAGTTACAAGGACTGCACTTCTAATGGATATATTGTGTGACTGGATGAAGGAGATATTGGAAGGGTCAATATTTTTAATTCAAGCTTGTTGCTTAGACAAGCCCTCTTTTCCGTAAGATCATCTACCATTCAATTTGCTGGCAATCTGTCTATTTTTGCCTAAAGGATTTTAATCTCCTTTTATCCTTTACGTCAGTATAAATTATTCTCTTTCCTGAGATGTATGCAAATTTAGCTATCATACTGCTGCTATAAATAATGTATGCACTAATGGATTCCAATAAATCATTTAAAAGACAACTTAAATAATTAAAAAAAAAACACCATGCAATGGGTAGCTTGTATGCTATAAATTTATAAGATTAAGCCTGTACCTTTTAAGAAGCCAAGTATGTTCATTTTTTCTGCATCATTTGCATTTTCCTGTACTTCTGCATAAGTTAGAATGGGTGGGCAGATATTCCAGGAAGGAAGGGGGTGGATCATCGAAGTATGGCTTAAAATACTTAATGACCTGTCCCTCCCCCCATTTACTTCCCAAAATATATTGTCCGCTCTTTCTGTCTAAGGCTGGACATACATGCCTCAAGAGTTGAGCTGTGGGTGTTCCTGTTGGCACCACGGGGCTTGACAAAACTTGACTGATAAATTAAAGAAGCTGGGTGAAAAATTGTTGGCTGAACATCCTATCAGATGCAGTCACTGTTCAGGTATTCAAGCAGCTGCAGGTACTGTGGATGCTTGCATACAATAGCCAGCAGTGTAGATTTCTCTGTCCATACTTTTTTTTTTTTTTTTTGCATGGATGGAAAAATCTATTCATCCCTAGCTTAAGATATGGGTTCCGGAATATGCAAAGGTTGAACCTTCCCTGTACAGACTGGGAACATGAAGGGAACATTTGCGTCTTCTAAAATGTACTTGCTTATGCTATATACCTGCAGTGCAAATGCTGACTATTATAGGGGTGTTTTTTTTTCTATTCCAATTCTTTAATTACTTTTTAATCAGAAGACTCTTTAGTAAGGTACGTTTTAAAGCCCAGTCAAAATCCCATGTAGATATGCATAGGAACATTGTATCAAGAACCTCCATTTTCAGTCTTATTTCCACAATTGTGAAGAGTGTCTGTCTAAATATGACTGGGCAGGCCTATCGTTCCATAGTTGGATCCAGTGCCAGCAGTAATTGACACTAAGTTATCAAACTGGTCAGATCCCTCTCTGCCTTTGCAGAACAAGTCTGTGTGGGGACACTTGTGATAAAGGGTGTGGCACTGTGCCAGCATGGAGCACTGGAGGGGGAGAGCAAGAGATGTCATTCGGAGAGCTCACTGGCTCAGGTTAGGCTGTTCACAACAGACAGGTCTGCCCTTCCAGTGGGTACCCAGCAGGTTATCAGAAAAAAAAAAAACAACATGCACCAATGGAAGGCACCAATGGAAGGCACACACCAAATTATCAGAGTCCAAATTAATTTATTGGTTTGCACTAAAAAAAAAAAAAAACAAAAAAAAAAAAAACTAATTTTCAGGGGCCAAAAAGCATTCCCCTTTTTATCAGGCGTAAGCAGGGAAGTTTATTTATGAACTATGAGAGTTACTAGCCAGCAGTATCTGCTTGAGCAATCAATCAACTTGACTCAAGTAACTCTCCTAGTCTAACAACTTAAGTGTGCGTGAGCACACACACGCACACTTTATAAATATATACATTTCTTTTTTTATCCTTCATGTGATCACATAATCACAGGTTTATGGGAAGAAACCGCAGCATACTGGTCTTCCCAGTGAATGACTGTGCAGGGGGGACTTGTCAGCACAAGTCCATGACCACTTTGAGATGAATATGTTCTCTTGTCTAGTGTGGTTAGTTTTGAAATGGGAAAGCAGGGGGACTGACAGGAACACCAGAGATTTCACACAGAGGAAGCAGCACATAGAATAGGATACTTGTTTTTAACATCAGTACATGGTACAACAGACACATATGAGGAATATGAAACTTTGGGGTAACACATTCTTTAATGTCTCTACAATAACACTGATGAAAGGTGAGTGCTTTCTCGTCTCTGAAACACGCTGGCTGTTTTTGTGTTTTTTTGTTTTTTTTTTTTTTTTTTTTTTTGTGCAAACCTTTAAATTAGTTTGGTCTAGTGCTCCTTCAAATGGTGCATAAATTTTATGTATATTGTGCTATTTGGCTTGCACTGATAAATATGTTTTTGGTTCCCTGCTTCAAGCTGAGATTCATACTTTGGTCTTTAAACTGAAATAGTCAGCACAGCAGGGGCAATACAAGCCATTGCAGATTATACCCAGCTTAAAAACAATTGTACCCTCAATCAATATGCATCTTAGTTCAAGCCCCTGCCCCGTGCTATGTTGGCACATACAATCTTTTTATAAGTATGTCATGGTATAAAATATTGGGCATTCATAAAGCCAGTGGTGGCTGAAAACTGACCACATTTTGTGGTTTGATAAAAACACAGCCCTTTAAATAAATTATGCTCTTATTTGAAGTTGGAAATTCTAAACAATGTACACAAATTGTTCAGTTTGGCCTGCACTTGTATTTGATTTCCTCCATATTTTTATTTTATTAAAAATGTACATGTGCACTTGTTAAAAAGGGCATCGAAAGCAGTTTTCTAAAGTACAAAATATATATAAACCTGTGCTAAAGAAAATATATATAAATATATATATTCTCTATCTATAAACAGCTGAACACCAAAATCCCGATACCAGGCAGTAAAACAGTAATACATATAAAGTGCAGCGCTTAACAGCGTGACAAATAGGTGAAAAATATATTGTATAAAAAAAATTGTCCATTGAAAATAATCAGATAAAGGAAAGCTCCCAGAGGCCGTGATGAAACCAAGGAAATCCAAGGACAGCTGTTGTGTCACCAACCACTCATATGAAAGGCTTACCAGAAAAGCACGACCCCCTGTTAAGAGTGGTCAATCATGCTTTTGTTGTAAACAACCTGGAAAGCTGGACAACCAGATCCTCCTCCAGACCACCAAGAGAGAAAACAAAAATCCTCTAAGCAATAGATCCTAATTAGTTTAATTCTACCACTCCAGATGGAATTCAGACTTGTGGTAAGAAACATGCAAAAAGAGTGCTCCACAAAGTGTAAAACCATTAAAACAACATTTATTTTAAGTATGGTTGCACTCACATAAAAGTGAACATAAATAGGCAAAAATTCTAACTTTTTCAAGTTCCAAAATGGCCGCTGGCCGATCGCGCGTGTGAGTGGCTCCGCCCTACACGTTTCGTCATAAGTAACGTCATCAGGGGCTTTTGGGAACTCTCCTTTTATCTGATTATTTTCGATTAGAAAACTGTGAAAAATATATCATAAAAAGTTGTCAAAGTAGAATGAAATGAAATATCTGATTAGTTTGATACAGTGTAAAATGCTGAATATTTTGAAGAAGCAAATCATTCTGCAGATCTTACTCTGCATTATGCCACATCAATGTTGAATGGTAGAGTTATGTGCCAGATATCATGATTAGTGAATAGAACTTTTCCCATTGTTTACAGTCACCCTTAACCAGGACTACACTTCATCTGCTCACCTTGTAACCCATTGGGGGGGGGGGACAAAAAGGCATACAGTTACATTTGTGAAGATCGGAGCATGAGCCTATGACTTTGCACCGTAACAAAGATAGAATCTGTTTCTTTATCTGAAGCTGTTTTAGCCATCAAAATAGTTTTTTTGTTTTTTTTTATATTGAAAGCTAAAGTCGGGGTAGGCTAACCTATTGATAGTGTCTTAAGTAAAGTCTTTTTCTTTAACTTTACAAATGATACATTTTTATTTTTATAAACACTAATATTTTATGTATCCCACCTCCTTATATATTTAAACAGAGAAGAGTGTTCTTGGGAGTGTTAAAGGTGCTTGGTTTTTCCACACTGATTTTTCTCAGCAAAAATCTAGGATTTGCTGCAGTTGTTAGGAACTGATTAAAGCACAACTGAACTTTCAGTTTATCTCAGCTAAATACATTCCAGGTGCATCAAAACAAAAAGTATGCAAAGTCTTTTCAGTTTCATTTAAAATACTAAACAAAAAAATACTTAAAGCTAAAACCTGAGTAAAACCGAAGCCTATCTCCGGTCAGCATACTATGGGGAAGGACCATTACTCTGTGTGAAAGCAGTGGTCTTTCCGCAGAGGTTCGACATACCCCCTGCTGAATCAGGGCTAGAATTCTTTAATCTGGAGCATGAACTTTGCTGATTGCGGAGCTATAGGTCTCATTCACAGGGTGCGTGTTGGGCCTTTTGCGCAGAGATCACTGCTTCCACAAGCAAAAGTCCTTCTCTATAGTACGCTTGCAGGGAACAAACTTTTGTAATGAAGCTATGACTGTTTCTAAAGAGCGGAATCTGTAAAGAGGGTCATAGATGGATCGAATCTCGGTCAGTTCAGCAGGGACTCCCCAATGGCAGAATACAATGTCGCTGACTGGAGGAAATGAGTGATTTTTTTTTTTTTTTTTTGGATTTTTTTTTTTTTTTCTTTCCTGCAACCCATGCGTGCAGGAAAGAAAAATCACATCAAGTATGGTTTGATTAAGACTTTACAAAAACCTTTTGTCTCGATGCACTGTTCTTGAAGGCTTGATAGACTTGAAGATATGATCTTTTGGAAACAGGTCATCAGACTTTTATACAAACCTCATCTGACATGCTTTCCACTATCCAGTTAATATATAATGTGCTGGTCTGTGTTTCTCATTCTAGGTGTGTAGGTTTAATTCTACAAAATCAGAACATATTACTAGTAAAAGGTTTATCTTAAAGCACAATAGTGGTACCATACATTTGTCATCTACCACCTTGTTCTACATTTTTTACAGTGAA